CACACAGGTCTGCGCAATTTTTTAAAGTTTATGTTCTTTCTCTTTTAGCATTTTTTTTCTCTGTTTAGTTTTAGATTGAGATAAAAAAAAAATGGGACTTTTATAGATCCCTCCTTTTATTCTGCAGCAGGGGCCCTGGACCATTTTGTGCAAGGGAGCTACCCCATCCTCATCTGAAGCTTTAGGTTAAACAGACTTGTCAAGGGAATCCACCCAGTAGCCTCTGGCATTTCAAGTAAAGCAGTCCTTCAGAAATACATAAAATAAGGGTTGTTAACTTTGGTGGGGCCTTTGCCACATGCCAGGCACTGCTCTGGACTCTTCCCCTATTGTCTTATGAGAGCCTCACAATGGCACTGTGAGGAAGGTACTATTATCTTTCCTGATTTACACACCAACGAGGAACAGATTTTTGAGGTAAGGAACAGAGGCAGGCTAAAACTGGCCAGCCTGCTCCAAAGCCCGCGTGGAACAACTGAGCCGCAGAGTGCCACTGTCCACTCCAGAGGACAGGCTTGAGGGATACCTACTTGCTTCCAAACCAGGACAGGCTACCCCAAAAGTCGGTGAGATCATGGACATTTAAGAAGAAAACTGGATGACCAAGATTTAGGATGAATGATGAAAAAGCATTTTTGCTTCAGTCATACAGGAGGCTGATAAAGAAAAATATTGATTTAAAAAAAAGTAGGCAGGAGGGACATATCTACCTGAGATGTGCTATGCATTTGTGGTCAGGAAAGGGGTTTGAAAGATACCAAAGAAGGTATTCGAAAGTTGGTGGCTTCAGGGATTAGCTGCAACATCATTGTAAATTACACTGTGATGAACATCTTTGCCTATGAAACTTTATTCTCTGATTGCTGCTTGGAAGCTAACTGTAATTTCTGATTATTTCTTGGAATCTAGCCTAAGAAAATAGAATTTTGGGGGACAAAGTCTCTTCATTATTATATTGCATATTGATTTCTACCAGCACTGCAAGTGTATGGGTGTTCAAGTGTAGTCAAGTTTAATTTTTTAAAAGGAAATACATTTCATATCCAATCACTACTGAATTGTCATCTGCCCAGCCCCATATAGGATAATAGGTTGTGAGCTCAGAGATCAGACTTCCTCGGTCTGAACCCTGGCTCTGCCATTTGAAGCTACAGCACACTCCTTCAGTGATAACATGGGGATAATAATAATATCTACCTCATATGCTTGTTGTGAGGGTTGAATCACGGTAATATTTGTTAAATATAAGCACTGGGCCAGACAGAGTAAGCATCCAATAAGTGTCAGCTGTTATCGCTATTGTTATTATTCACATATTTATTTATTTTGTAAATGCTAGGTAATGTAGTTCCTAAGCTCTATTAGCACTCATTAGCACTCAGCAGTGGATGAAAAAGGGTTATAGGCTGCTAAATTTTTTGATTTGGTTGATGATAAAAGGTGGCAGATTTTGTTTGATAGAAATACTGGACCCAAGGGGAATATTGGTTAATATATACTTCTCCTATGACTTCTGCAAATTAAGAACCAGATAGACAAAACCAACACTTCAAACTGTTTGCATTGGTTTAAGGGGGATCTTTTTGCTGAATAGCTGGTGACATGTCATAGAGTTGTAAGACTGAGATGTTCCCCAACTGTTTCTTGACTTAAGTGTTTTACTTTCCTTCATAAAGCAGAGATTGTGCCTTGATTGCTTGTTCATTTGGGCCTACTGAGGTGTGGCTGAGATGGGGCTACCATGTTGGATTCTAGGAGGGGTAAACTGAGATGACCACAACACTTGAGACCAAAAGAAAAAAAAAAAGTAGATTATTGGGATAGGAGACGTCAGTGATAAGAGTTGCGTTTCTTCCAGGCTTTTGGAATGGATAGTCAAATAAACATATGGCAGCAAGACAAGTACCTGAAACTCCAGCATGGTCTTCCCCATGTTTGACTCCAACATGTAGTGATAGGCTCCGATGCTGGTGCTGGGGTCATCTGCATCATCTAATGTGGCCTTGGAAAGGAAAGAAGAAGGAGAAAATATTACTGATTTTTCCTCCCCTTCTTTAAGTGTTCACAAATTTCCTGTGGCCACACAGCAAGGCTTCTATTCTTGACCTAACCCTAGCAGGTCTGCATTCTTTGGTTGATTTTGGATAAAAATCTTAATCTCATTATGACTCAGAGTAAAGAGGGTTTTGTAATCAATTTGAATCTAGCTTTTGATTAGAATGCTAACTGATTATCTACTTGCCCATAGAATAATTTTCCAAAAGCAGAAATTTCTGTATCACACACAGGGTTTTTGTTGTTGGTGGTGTTAACATGTGTGTGGCCACCCTCCGAGGCTGCCTTCATTGGGTATTGAAATCTTGAAACACTGACTTTGCTCTGATTCCAGTGACAACCAGGCAAGATTATATAACTGACATGGAAAGAATTCTTCAGTTGTATGGACCATTCATATTTTACTGCCATGATTCTTAACAGGAGCTTTTCATAATATGCTGGTGTTTGGCCTGGAGATACAGATCTTGGTTTGTATTTTTTCATTCCCTGACCACTTTATCTTTAAGAAGCAAGGTGGGTGGGTGATGGGTAGAAATGAAATTCCCTTTAATTTGGTTGTGGGGCGTGGTGTTAACATAGCTCTGGAATGGCATTGGGCCTGCCCTTCTATTCCTCACGAATGTGGATTCCTGGGAAGGTGGGCAATGGTAACTTTGTGAGACTGAACAAACAAGTGCCAGCATCAGACAGCAGCAAATTTGTAGCTTTTGAATGCAATAACATTAACATGCTGCTGCTGAAATATTTATGTTGGCTTTTTAAATATCCCAGGG